TTAAAAGCACAACTATAATGACGTGGGAAAATACCCGAAGAAAGCTGAATACAATACATATATATCTGTGTGTGTGTGTGTGTTTTCTGAGGTTTTCGCGGGTATTTGTATGTGGATCTTTGGTTATTCGGGTTTTCTCCCACGTAAAATTATATTTATACACACATATATATATGTGTGTGTGTGTGTGTGTATACACACACACACAAAATTTAAAAACATAAAATAAAACTTTATACATCATTATATCAATTTCAAGGCATCTTTTACATTTCCTTATCATCTTTCTATATACACATTTCGTTCACTATACGATTTCAACTTAATTTAATTTTAACAAGCTTATCTGCCTGCAACACTTGAAGGCCGCTGCTTGGTTCAGCTCTTCTGGTGATAACAGCTGGTCTCATTAGGGATTTTCAGGCAACCTGAAAGGTGTTATTTAAATTTGCTACATCGCGTTTTTTTTCTTCCCCTTTTCACAACTTCATCTGACTCGTATTATTTTTAATTACTGAAAAACTGCCACCAAGTGAATACTAGGTGTGGGCTACATCAATGTTTGTCAACCTTTGCAGATTTAAGATGGGTGTGGACTCCAACTCCCAGAATTCCCCAGCCAAGCATGCATGGACTTCAGATCCCAAAATTGTCCAGCCAGCCTGTGTGGATTTCAACTCCCAAAATTCCCCAGTCAGCCTTGGTGAACTTCAGCTCCCAGAATTCCCTAGCCAGCCATGCTGACTGGGGAATTCTGGGGGTTGAAGTCTACACATCTTGAAGCCACCAAGTTTGAAAAACACCGGCCTGTGTGAATATACTCAATTCAGCAAATCCTCTGAAGCAAAAGAAAATCCACAAAAATGCTGACAATTTGTTTTAAACAATTCTTTTGTTTTAAAATTCCACACCTGTGGTTACTCCAAATCCAGTTTCCGCTGGTTCCTCAGTCAGAGTGTGTAACTGGCATACTCCAGTCTCTTCCACGGCCAGGTGTATCGGCTTAGTCAACAGGTACTTCCTGGAAATCATGAGGAATTATCCATGTTTTTAAAAGGTTTACATTGGCCAAATTTAATAATATCCTGTGGTTTTTTTCCCCCGCTGATGATGTTACCTACAGTAGTTTGGTAAAGAAATATCTGCAAGAAAACCATCAAGCTCAGATCCCAAGGACCTCACAATTATTATTACAGTTTTAATCATTAGTTCTACTACAACAGTTGTACCGAATAACTGCAGTTCAAGTGTCTAAGGCAGAGGTCTCCAAACTTGGCAACTTTAAGACTTGTGGACTTCAACTCCCAGAATTCCTCAGCCAGCTATGGAATTCTGGGAGTTGAAGTCCACATGTCTTAAAGTTGCCAAGTTTGGGGGCCCCTGGTCTAAGGGGATGCCCCAAAGACAAGAGGGTCAAGCTATTCTCTAAAGCCACTGAAGGCAGGACAAGAAGCGACAGATTGGAATTAATCAGGGACAGAAGCAACCGAGAACTAAGGAGAAATTTCCTGACGTGGGAACAATCTGTGGAACTGCTGGCCACAAGAAACTGTGGGCACTCCATTGATACAAGAGATTGGGCAACTATTTCTTCAGAATGGTGTAGGGTCTCTTCTAGGAGCGAAGGCAGAGGGAAAAGCGATTGAGAAAATATTTCAATGTGCAGAGGTGAATAGATTAACACTGGAAATTAAAGAAAAGGAAGAAACTGAATACTATATGATATGGGATCTATTTTATGAAACGGTTAGAAAATAAAACAAGTTAAAACTGAGCGGATGAATATATAAAGAAACTAGTCAAGAGGGTTATAAGGATAATAAATATGAGAGGAAATGATTTATGATTTACCAAGAAAATGTGATTATTGCTATATTGGTTAAAAAAAATATCAGTTATGATTGTCAGCACAAGATATACGTATCCAGTCGACACACCGCACGAATGAAAGATGGAATTATTGTAACTATTAAAAAAATAAAATAAATTTTTTGGGGGGGAGGGAAAGGAACTAAGGTGGGGAAACAATGACATGTAGACGATGTAAGAGGACGTATAAGAAGCATTGTTCTTACTGGTTGGTTTTAGTTTCCACCAGAAGCCACCGGTCTTCGGCCACTAAAAAAACAGACTTGAGACTGATGGGCAAAGAGATGGTGTGGGCATTGCCCTCCAGGACATCCATAACGATAAGGTAGTTCCTGAAAGATAAAACGTTTAAAAAATTAGGTCTCAGGACAACCTCAGGATGCTTCTGTAAGCAAAGAAGAAGAAGAAAAAAAAAGGAATTTATTCTTACCCTTCCTCTTTGTAGAAGACCAGCCAATTCTTATGTGCAAATTCTTTGCACATTTTGTGACTCGTCTTCTTTCGAGGGCAGGTTGACAGGCGGAGAAGGAAAAAATAATAATAATAATAATAATAATGAATTGCAATTCTTCGGCCAAACTGCCAAAATTCACCAAAACTCTTGGTTACACATGGAGACTTGGCAAGTTCTAGGAAAAAGTTCTTGATGGTCTAACATGGAGGAAAAAAAACTATCCACTCCCACAAATGCTAAGATCAATTCCTATTTTCTGTGCTAAATAAAATACAGGTAGTTCTCGACTTACAATAGTTTCATAACCCAATTAGGTAACATCATCAGTGTTCACTGATATGCACTAGAGTAGTTTGGTAAATCAAATATCTTCAAGAAAACCATCACGTTTAGATCCCAGGGACCTCACAATAATTATTACTGTTTTTAATAATTAGTTCTAGCATAAGTGAACTGAATAATTGCAGAACAAATATCTAAGGGGCTGCCACAAAGAAGAGAGAGGGTCAAACTATTCTCCAAAACACCTGAAAGCGGAACAGGAAGGAATGACGGAAACTAAGCGACAAACAACCTAGAACTCAAGAGAAATTTCCTGACCGTGAGAACAATCGGTCAGCGGAATGGGTTGCATCCTGGAGTTGTAGGTGCTTCATCACTGGAGGCTTTTAAGAAGAGACTGTTGGGCAATCTAATTTTGTCTGAAATTAGGCTCTCCTGCTTAAGCAGGGGGTTGGACTAGAAGACCTCCAAGGTCTTCCCACGCTGCTATGCTGTTCAATGTGATTTCTCAAATCTGGGTGCCAGTGGACCACAACAAGGCCGCGTTTTGCCTTCCCAAGGGTCCAGACGCCTCCCCCGGGCCTCTGGGAGGGAGAAAATGGCCACCCCTGGGTTCTGGAGGCCCACCAGACCCGTTTCTGGATTTCTGGAAGGCCCATTCTTCTCCCCCACAACGACCCGCCACACAGACCGTGTACTTACCTGCATCAGGTGGAGACTCCTAGGAGGGGTGCGTGGGGCCAGCCGGTCGGTTGAAATACCGGTTCGGCGAACCAGGTGTAACTTTAACATCCGGTTCGCCTGAACCGGTGCAAACCGGTAGAATCCCGCCCTTGGCTGTAAGTCGAGAACTAGCTCTATTCCTGGAGGACGGATGGGCTATTGTGACGTCTTACCTCCTCCGCTTTGCCTCCCCACCACGATGCTCCTTTCCGCGATGCCGGGATATCTGGTAACAAGGTGAGACGGCTTACGGCCCCCGTGTTCGTGTCCAGCAATAAAACAATGTGATTCTATAAGAAAAACAGCGGGGTGAGAGAGAGGATAATTCTACATACTGTAGAAAAACTGCAGAGGTATATGTGTCCTCGATGACCCCTCTCACTTGAGAGTAATTCGACGCATTTCGGAACTGAGGGCGGATTTTGATGCCTCAGAAAAGACTGGTTTTTTTCCCGCAAGATTTTTCCCTTCCGCAACATATTTGTCGTTGCGCGGAGTTCACTGAAGGGTGTGGGAAATCCATTGTTGTGGCCCGCCAGCAGCTGACGGAGCTAGCAACAGAGTCGGACAGTAGTGAGGAAGTTGGGGAGGAACCTGGGCCAGTCTTGATGGCTGAGGAAGGCTCGGGATGAGGGCTCTGCATCAGAGACAGAGATGGGGCCAGGGCAGGCTGGCAGTCATCAGCTGCCTTCGGACTCGGACAGCAGTGAGGCGGGGGAGCTTCTGGAAGCGGTTCCCACCCCGCGCATGCGCAGAGATGCCAAAACGAAGGCACAATTAAGGACTCGGGGTCGAGTGGGGAGCAAGGCCACCGGTGGACGACGAATGGCCCCCTCCCATCAGGATTAAAAGAGGAACAAAAGCGGAGGGGGCTTTTGCGGGAAACAATTCGCCCGTTCGGTCATGTGTTTGTTCCGGCCTTGTGGATCTTGGTCTGTAAACCCAGCCTTCCTTGCCAACAGTGAGTGTGGAACTAGTTTACCAGGCAGCAATTCCAGGATTGATAACAATCTGAGATAATTAGTCCGCCTTTGCAAAAACGTGGGCCAAGCTGTTGGCTGACTGTGAATGAACTACTTCACGTTATTGTAAATAAAGAGGTTTTTGCCAGGACTCAAAATCGACTGAGTGCTTTTGGGGGAGGCCTAGGCAGGGGTGGGTTTCAAAAATTTTAACAGCCGGTTCTGTGGGCGTGGCTTAGGTGGTGGGTGTGGCTTGGTGGTTATGTGACTGGGTGGACGTGGCTTGGTGGTCCTGTTATTGGCTGGGTGTGGCCAACTCCTTCCTTTTTCCTTCCTTCCTCCCTGCCTCCCTTTTTCTTTCCTTTCTTTTTCCTTCCTTTCCTTCCTTCCTTTCTTCCGCCTTTCTTCTTCCTTCCTCCCCTCCCTTCCTCTCTTTTTCTTTCCTTTCTTTTTCCTTCCTTCTTTCCTTCCTTGTCTTCCTCCTTCCTTTTCCTTCCTTCCTTCCTCCCCTCCCTCCCTTTTTCTTCCTTCCCTCTCCCTCCCTTCCTTTCCTTTCTTTTTCCTTCTTTCCTTCCTTTCCCCTCTTTGTTTCTTTGTTTCTTTTTCTTTCTTTTTCTTCCTCCCCTCCCTCCCTTTTTCTTTCCTTTCTTTTTCCTTCCTTCTCTTCCTTTCTTCCGCCTTCCTTTTTCCTCCCTCCCTCCCTTTTTCTTTCCTTTCTTTTTCCTTCCTTCCTCCCCTCCCTCCCTTTCTTTTCTTTTTCCTTCCTTCCTATTTTCCTTCCTTCCTTTCTCTTTTTCTTCCTTTTTTCCCTCCCTCTTTCTTTCTTTCTTTCTTTCTTTCTTTCTTTCTTTCTTTCTTTCTTTCT